ATATATTTGGGGGGAGGAGTGAGGAGGGGACTTTATTTTCCTTTTTTTTTTTTTTTTTTGAGACAGTCTCACCCCGGCAAACCCCGGGAGAGTGCAGTGGTACCATGAAGAGCTCATTGCAACGTCCAACTCCTGGGCTCCAGCGATCGATCCTTCTGCCTCAGCCTCCCGAGTAGCTGGGACTACAGGCGCGCCACGACGCCCGGCTAATTTTTCTATATTTAGTAGAGACGGGGTCTCGCTCTTGCTCAGGCTGGTCTCGAAACTCCTGAGCTCAAGCGATCCTCCCGTCTCGGCCTCCCAGAGTGATAGGATCATAGTTTGAGCCACCGCGCCCGACCTTGATCACATTTTTAACACATATACATATTTAACCAGCTCTTTTCGAAATCCTTTACAATTTACACCCGGAATATGACGACGAAATGTGAAATGAAATACTGCGGCGAACATTAACCGGTTCGACTACCAGTGGTGGTACGGTCTCAACATGGGACGATGACGTCAGTCGTGTTGGGTAATCTTCACAAAACTATCGGTTCCACCCCACGAAAGCGGCTACCGCAGCCAAGACTGCACTTCGATCCCGGCCCAGCGGGCCAGGTCACGTCGACGGCGACAATTTCCGTAGCGGTGACACACGCCACTTCCGGCCGGCGGTGATAGTCACTGACGTGGCAGGAGAGGCCGGGACGGTCCTCCCGGCCGGGACGCCAGGAGCTGTCAGGTGGCCTCGGGGAAGCCCCTCGAGGAGAGGAGAGAGCGCCGGCAGCGGCGGCAGCGGCAACTAGCCCGGAGCCGGAAGTGCCACGTGTCCCGATTGCGCCTGCGCGGCAGGCGGCTGACAAGCACTTCCGTCCGGGGCCTCCCTCCTCTCCCTGTTTGGTCGCTGCCTCCCAGCCGGGCTTTCGAGGCCCCACCGGCCGGATTCCCAACCCTCAGCTCCCAGGCTAGGCTGTGGCCGCCGGCGGGCTCAGGAGAGTGTAGCGCCATGCCTCGGGCTTGATGCGCCGTCCTCTGTTCTCCCGGTGTTCAGTCCTAAGTTGTTAGCCCCACCGTCCGCTTCAGCAGTCGGCTTTCAGCTCCCTGCTGGGCGCTGTTGTCGACCCTGAACGGCTCCTTCCAACTCTACCGTCGTCATCATGTCCCAGCCGGGAATACCGGCCTCCGGCGGCGCTCCAACCGACCTGCAGGCCCAGAACGGGGCCGCCTCGGCCTCGGGGTCTCCCTACACCAACGGTGAGTGCTGCCTGGGGGCGGGGGGCGGGCGCAGCCTGGGCCGGGGCTCGAACTGACCTTTGGTTACTGCTGCTGCTTGAGGCAACAGAGATGGAGAGGTGGCCTCGCTACTGGGGTCCGGCGCGGGTGGTGGTGGACGGCTAGGAGACCGCGGCGAACGTGCATCCACAGCCTCAGGCTCGTCTTAGTGTTTCACATTTGTGTATCAGTCAGCAGTTAGTGAGCACCTGCTGTATGCAGCGCCGTCAGTAAACATGGGTGAGAAAATGAAGATTTGCTCAATACCTCAAAACTCGATTACCAGGATCATAGTGCCTGTGTGCTTTGACCCTCCGCGCCACCGCGCTCTAGTCTCCTAGACGTGAGGGTTTGGAGTGCGATTCATCTCGGTTCTGTAGGCCCTGAAGTGGGGTGGGTGTTCTACTCGGTCTGAATTTGGGAGATGAATGCATGACTGCTTATGGGAGACCCCTTTACGGCCTACTCATCTCTCCCAGAACCTTCCCAGAATTGTACCTGGGCCACCTGTTTCCAGCAGTGAAAGAATCAAATAGAAGAGAGGCTCTCCTGTTTGATTTCCAGAGGTGTTTACATCACTCGAAAAGTGGTTGGACACAACTCTCTGAACTTCTGACGACAGTGTACATGTGGCACTATGGTTTGTCATTTGGCATGAGAATGTCATAATTTTACACCTCTACTAGGATTCCTTAGATTGTCCTCTATTGTGATTTGCTAAGTTTATTATATGTTATAATAGAGAAAGACAGATTTTCTGCCAGCAACTTGCCTGCGTACCAATTTACCTACAAATCTTTGGTTTATGGACATAAGACTAGTAGAATAATAATACTAAAGTACCTAAATTGCCCATTGGAATCCAAGATTGCTGTGATGGAGAAAATAGCCAATGATTAAAATTGCTAATTTACATTATTTTTAGAGAAGACTGCTGTTTTCTTTACAAAGCTGCCTCTAAAAGACTTTAAAAAATGTCTTTGAGTAGGCAGCTATGGGGGCAGAAGCAAGAATAAGTGGGGGAAAGACACTTGAAAGGGTGTTAAGTTGAATTAATTGTTATTTGTCAAATTTATGGTAACAGATTATGTAAACTACGTTTTATTCTAGGATATTTAGTAACATTTACACAAAGGATGAAATCACTTTAAAACATTCATGTTAAGGTCAAATAATTTGAACAAGATGTCATACGGTTATGGGTTTTTCTTATAATGTATAAATTTCAATTTTACATAAACTGAAAATGGCAAATCCTCCAAATGTGCTTGCAAGCTTATATGTAAGTATAGTTGTCATAATATTGAAATATTAAAGGAATTTAACCAATGTGATATTGTCACTATGTTGATTTGATCCAGTCCAACAGACATTTGTTGCACACCTTCTACATTCTGTCCTTTCGCATATAAAAGAGAATAAGAAAGCACCCCCTATACATACAGTGCCCAGAACCAATTGGGAATTCAGGTATGTAGCTGGTGATTGCAGTTCAGGATGATAGCAGCTGTAAGAATGTGGCCAACTGAGGTGGGGAGTGAGATCATAGGACTGCAAATATAAGCCTCTTCTAAAATATAATTTTGACAGTCTATTTATAAGCCCCATTTCTGAAGTTTTTCTATAGATGTAATCTCAATAAATGGTTAATGTCCTATATTGGGTGGTTTTATTGTTTATCCTGCTAATTATACAGAGAGTCGCAATGTGGTGGCAAGTTGAAGGGAAGGGTATTTTTCTAGGAGGTGACAAAAAATTTACATACTAGAGTCTAGTTTTGGTTAACTGTTGCAAGGAAGTAATTGCTGCTTAGGTGTTCTATTGAAAACTTTTAAGCTTTAGATTTAATGTAGCTTGCTTAAATTATATT